GAAACTTTTTACAGCGACTAACTACCAAATCACATACGCTGTTCTTCTTGAAATAAAAAAAATACTCAACCCCAGCTCCTAAAAATGTAAATTGCCGGAGCAGTCATCTATGTAGAACAGCTGATTCAACCCGAAATTTAGGCTGACTTTCAGGAATGTGCGACGGCCGCAAACACATCGAGCTTCGCGATCATGCACAGTCCTATACTCTCCTTATAATACCTCGCGAAGTCATTTCTTGAAGCGAGACCAAAGTTCGCTCAAAGCTTTCTCCTGGACGATCTTAGCAAACATGTCCTGCCGCATGAAGCCTCTGGGCCTTCCTTCCCCTAAGACCAAGTTTCCCTCGCTTTTTCTGCTTTTAGGAGCATACGATTTTTTCGAAGTAGAAGCGCGAAGACCAAAAGTGGATATCAATTGAGCTTTTGTCTAATTTTCCATCAAACCTAAGAAATCCTTGGCAGAAAAGTTTCCTGCTTGAAGCACTTGGAACTTTCTTTCCTTCGAAACCAAGCTCCCTTTCCTTTTTTGCTAAGGGGGGCAGAAGTATGATTTCGGCGAAGTAAAAGCGGCCCAAGTGGGTTTCAAGCGATATTTCTGATAAGTTAGCATTCTTGCCACATAAGCCCTCGGGACCTTCCTTCCCTCGAAACCAAATTTGCTTTGCTTCTTCATTATAGGAGGCAGAGGTATGATTTCTGCGAAGTAAAAGCGGCCAAAAGTGGATCAAGCGAGCTTTTGAAATTCCTAGCAGAAATGCACTGCCGCATGAAGCCCTTAGGCCTTCCTTCCCTCGAGACCAAGCTCTCGCTTTGCTCCTTTGTTATAGGAAGCAGAGGTATGATTTCTGCGAAGTAAAAGCGGTAAAAAGTGGACTTCAAGCGAGCTTCTGTATAATTTAGCATTGAAGCTGAGAAATTATCAACAGAAACGCACTGCCGCATAAAGCTGCTGCAGCTACCCTCCCTTCAAGAACAATCCTCCTCTGCTCAATTTTTTAAGGCAGAAGTACGATTTTCGCGAAGTAGAAGCGGCCAAAATGGATTCCAAGCATGTTTTTGTGAGAAGCCTGAAACCCAAAGAATTATACCAAAAATGACTGCGGTATGAACTCATTAAGTCTTTTTTAACCTTAAGACAAGCTCCCTCTGCTGTGTTGTTTTTATTGGCAAAAGTAGAATTTCCACGAAGTAGAAGCAGCCAAAACAGATGTTCAGCAGTTCCTGTGAAATTTTACATTGAAATGATACAAACTGAAACTCATGCTGATTTTCAGGAACTGTGTCATGTTTTAAAAAGCTTCCAGTACCTGAATAACCCAAACATGTAAACTTTTCAAAGCGGCTTTGACCAAATTTCGTAAAGTGTCCCCGAACAACAACGTAGAGCTTTGCATGATAGCAAAGATCGGTGAGTATACCATTGCTTATGTAGAGCTCTCTCAGTTCTCTAACTTCTTTTGAACGCTTTTCCGCAATCATACGTTAGCTTTTGATTCCCTGTAGCGATTCTGAAAAATATGGAGTCGTTCACTGGATGAAGGAACCTTATGGAATCCTTCTCAGGCAATGGCCGCACACACCGACCATCGCAATCATGCGCCACTCTACATTTTGATAATGTCTCCCAATACATGAGGTCATTTCTTAGGGTGCCTTCATACCGCGCCGGGAGCTGCCGCTAGCAGCTCGTAGCAACCGCTGGCAGCCGGTAACAGCCGCTAGCAACCCGTAGCAGCCCGCAGTAGCCGCCAGCAGCCCGTAGCCGCCGCTGGCCGCTTTTGTCATAGAAGCGCAAAATCATCAAATTCTTGCTGTTTTAAGCGCAAACGCTGACGCTTTCCATCTTCCGCGTTTTTCCTCCCTTTGCGGCTAATTTACAGTTCCACTTTCACACATTACAAAGTTATTTAAGATAAGCACCGGCCAAGGATATACTTGAAGCAGAACCATGCATAAAAAATAAACACTGCAAAAACTGGACGCATCCAAAGTCAGACGATCACACCGCAAAGGAACTTTGGCGAAATATGGTTCAACTGCGAAAGAGAAACTGAGCACCAATAGGATAACCAATCTACGGCAACAAGATAACAGCAATGGCCACAAGTATGATATAAGAGATCGAATTGCCAACAGGGAGAAAAAAGCGTGGAAGATGGAAAGCGTGGGCGTTTGTGCTTGGAATAGCAAGAATTTGATGATTTTGCGCTTCTGTGACAAAGCGGCCAGCTGCGGCTACGGGCTGCTATGAAGGCACCCTTATAGCGATACTAAAGCTCGCTGAAACTTTCCATTGGATAATCTAGCAAAAAGGTCCTGCTGTGAAGCCCATGGCTCTATCCTTCTTTTGAGACCAGCCTCCTTCGCTTTTCTGCTTTTGGGTGCACAAGCATAATTTTCGCGAAGTAGGCGCGGTATAAAGGGTTTTCGAGGATTTTTTTTATAACTTAGCCTTGAAAACAAGGAATCGTTCGGAAAAATGTCCTGCGGCAGTAGCGACCCTAGGGGTCGCTAGTAAGTGAGTTAGGGCAGATACACTGATAACTATTTGCTGCAACTAAAATGACAAGGAAATGGACTTCCATTTTCTCAACGATTTTTGGCGAAACGTAAGTATGAGTGGTAAGAGTAAAATCATGCTCTCAAGCAAACTTTTTACAGTGATAACTTTCAAATCATCTACGGTGTTCTTCTTGCAGAGCTCCTTTACTTTTCTGCTTTTGAGAGCACAAAAATTTTTGCTTGAAGTGGATTTTAAGGTTTTTTTTAATAATTTAGCCTTGAAAACAAAGAATTCTTAACAAAAGTCCTGCGGCAGTAGGCTACCCTACGGGCCGCTAGCAAGTGGGTTGGGGCAGATACATTGATAACTGTCTGCGCAACTAAAAATAGCAAGAGAATGAATTCCCATTTTCTCACCGATCTTTTTCGCAATGCAAGTAGTAGTAGAAGCAAGGTCAGGCTCATTTCAAAGTTTTATTTCAAGATCATTTCCATTTTCTCAACGCTTGGCGCAACGTAAGTACGTAGTAGGAGAAGTAAGATTATGCTCTCAAGGAAACTTTTCACAGTGAGTAACTCTTAAATCATCTACGCTGTTCTTCTTGCAACTACTTTACCCAGATACCACAGCTACTCAACATGAAGACTACCTCAGCAGTCGTCTGTGTAGAACACCTGATTCAACCCGAAACTCAGGCTGACACTCAGGAATTGTGAAACGGCCGCTAACACACCGAGCTTCGCGATCATGCATAGGCCTATACTCTCCTTATAACGTCTCGCCAAGAAACGGTCATTTCTTGTAGCGAGACCAAAGTTCGCTCAAAGCTCTTTTTCTTAAACAATCCTAGCAAAAATGTCCTGTCGCATGAGCCCTCTGGGTATTCAAGAGTGAATTTTAAGCGAGCTTCTGCATGATTTAGCATTGAAACTGAAAAGTCCTCAGCCTAAATGCGCTGCCGAATAAAGTCCTTGAAGCTTTCCTTTCTTCGAGACTTATGCTTTTTAAAGCAGAAGTACGTTTTTCGCAAGATAAAAGCGGCCAAGCTGAATTTCAAGCCCTTCTTGTGACATTCAGCACTGAAACCTAGGAAATTATATCAAAAATGTACTGCCGCGTGAACACTAGGTCTTTTCTTCCATTAAGACAAGCTCCCTCTGCTGTGTTTTTATTGGCAAAAGTAGGGATTTCACAAAGTAGAGGCCGCCAAAAACAAATGCAGCAAGTTTCTGTGAACTTTCACATTAAAATCTAGTTGGAAGAAATGTGTTTTCGAGTGAACATGTTGGGTCTTTCCTTCCAGCAGACCGAGCTCCCTCTGCTCATTTGTTTTCAGAGGCAACAACAATATTTACACAGTGTAAAAGCATCCAAAAGTAAGTATTTAACAGGTTTTTGTGAGATTCAGCATTTAATCCTAGAAATTTAGCAAGAGTTCCTAGAAATTTAGAAGAATGTACTACCGCATGAATCGACTGATTCTTTTCTTCCAACGAGACGTAGCTCTCCCTGTTTTTTCTATTTCCAGAGGCAAAAACAATATTTTCAAAAAGTACACTCCACGTAAAATTGATAGGTTATATTATCTTACCCTAACCTTCATATTGTTCAAAATCATAATGTGCTTTTTGAAAACTAATGATTGTAAGAAGTTAGGCAGGATAGGAAGCAAAATGGGCGACAGTTTTCCACATTATGATAGCAACTGGGGGTCAGACATTTGCACTATTCGGTAGTCTGGAATCAATACTTCGTTGTTGTTTGGCTCTGTACATGAACGACTTGATCCCTTCTTTGCTTGTTTATGAATGAGGAGGTGATCTTTGACGACTGTTGCCCATATTTGCACTTTCCATGCGGAGCAAGCTCTATAATATGCACTTAAAGTGGAAACTAACTAGGAGCGCCGTCAACTCTACGTCGCTGTTATGCAAACTATGTGGATCCTCCTAGAGTGCATGCGCTCCCCAGTGCTCTCTCGGCGCTTCTCAGCACATCCGTGTTAGTTCATGTATCGCAGTTATATTTCGTCGCCGCATAATCTGGACTGCCCTCGTTGTCGCGAATCTGCTGTTAACACTGTAAGAGAATACAACGGTAGAGCATATGGGGGAGGAGAGTACTCTCGTCGCATCGCTTTGGCAGTTACCAAAAGATATTATAGTAAGATTTGCAATTTATTTCAATTTCCAAAGCTACGATATTCGCATATAATGAATTTTCAAATTTTTCGAAGTATAGTGGAAGCGAGTACTACATGTGGTTATATTTCGCAACAATACTAAATCTCCAGACTCCGCGCATTTCATTCAAGCCACTGTAAGCCAAACGGGACGACCTCAGATCTGAAATCCCGCCGCAAAATGTACTTTACAAACTATTCTTTGAAATTTTGAGTTCGTAACGCTGAGGTAAATTTAATGTGATTAGCAAACACTTTGGATCCCCTCTTCCGAATAAGGTTATGTGTAAGCAAAACATTTTCTGATTTTTTAGATTTGATGCGGTTTTCCAGACTATATTATTTAAAATGGACCAAAATGTACTGGCTCGAATTTGTACCAGGAGTAATCGCATAAAAAAGGATATCGAGCTGAAGTCTGCACAAGCAAAGTTTGAAACTCCGCAAAGGATTGGCGAGTACAGTGTACAAAACTTCAAAGCTTTGAATACGCATTCTTCCTTTACCAGCGGTTTCGCAGGTGACTTGCAACCGAGATCTCATACCAGCCAGAGCAAGATACTTGTATGGTGAAGAAACCTTGATTAATGGGAAAAACGTAATGATGGATCTGAATCAAGGATTCGACGTATTCATGCAGAAGGAGGAAGATAGAGAAAAAACAGAGAAAAATTTTGAACTCAAAGTAGTTTTTTCATGGGATCGGAGAGTCCAGTTATTTGATTTCATCCCATTGTAGGCTAGCGAAAGACTTGATAATTTTTGGAAATGGATTATTATGCGAGCACCGAAGGGGAGCTCTGTCAAAAAGGTGCGTACTATATGAGTTCAACCGCAAAATTATTGAACGCCTGCCTAGGTGCTTCATGAGGCTGACGTTGTATGCTGTTATGGGCTACTGAAACGGGTAGGAACCACGCCATTCAGCAGTATGAATGCTTGGGAATTTTCTGCTGTCTGTTTCGATGATGTAATTTTCCTCTGTGAAGAGGAACTTTATGACACCTGCCACACCATGTCAGAAGAAAAAGCGCGTTCGTCGTATTTTGAGCTCAAGTTCAAACAGTACATGGTAGTAGAAGAAAAAAGCGTAAGTTTATCCTCATTGCGATAAAATAATTTTCAACTCAAATTCTTATCGTAACATCTTTGATATCTCCTATATTAGGTTGTAAAAACGGAAAATGATGTCGCATCGTGTTTTATCATGCAATATCGCAGCAGGATGCGCACGAAAGTAAGTAAGTAGGGTATCCACCGACAGATCAAAGCTCTACAACATGAAGCGCGAACCTTCGCACCAGGTTTGATTTGCGTGAAGTTTGGAGCCAAATTTCACAAGGCAGTAAAGGTCAAAAAAATCGAAAAAAATCGTATCTCCGTTCAGGAAAGTCCTGGGAACCCCTAACTTGCTCACACATGGACTCAATATATGAGATACTCGTATATTTTCGCGGTTTTTCCATGGTTGAAAATTGAGAAAACGAGATCCAGCATTTTGCCAAAACAATCTTAAGCTTCGCTCACATGTGTGATAATATAGTATGAACCTTTAGGAGTATAATGTTTGTTTTCAGCTGTAGACAGGAGCTAGTTATCGAGAAAAATCAAGTTATTTGCAAAAAACCCGAAAAACACGACGACTTCGTACTTTTGACCTATTTTTGTTTGTTGTATTGTAGCCATGGAAAAATACCACAAACTATACAACTGAATGTCTACTGCGGAGAGTACATGCCTGTCCAAATTGGAGATCCCTAAAACGTCTAAGAACGGAGATACGATTTTTCGGGCATCTGAAATGTTTTATATTTTGGATTCGAACTCCAAATGGAGTACGATTTCCGCTATCTTGTAGAGCTTGTTTTGCTCTAACAAATGATACCCCACTCGCTATTTTTTGTGGTTATTCTGTCGCGGTAGAGTGCCATGCGACATTATTTTCCGGGCAGCCTAATAGATAACGAAGTGTGAAATGTTATCTCGGTCGAAAGTTGATATCAATCACATAAAGGTGACACTTAAAGTAGATTATCACGCTTTATAAGTTCTTCAGTCTTCTTGAAAAGCCATTGACTGTAAGATCCTATCTATGAGCTGTTCCTCTTTGTTCAGGGAGAACCAAATACCGATGAAGTGGTCACCCGCGAAAAGTACGTAGTGGTTCTTAGTTCGGTCTTGGAACAAATATCCGGAAAATCCTTGAAGTTGGTCTATATCGGAGGGGTTGACGCAATCACAGCAGGTTATTTACATCTCCTGACTTGACTGTTTTGCTCAGAAGAAACTTGCAGTTCTGCTATAGAAGGAGAAATGGTGGAGTTGAGTACTCGTCGTAAGGATAAATCAAATCACTTTTATAAGAATCTCTGTTGTTATCTGCAGTTTTTGCTAATGGGTATCCGCGATCTTTATTTGGGGTATCGCACGGATGATGGAATTGTTGAAAAAGTAAGACACAATCTGTCTACTCATTGAAGATGTTCGCCCATCCAGGTTGAGCACGTGTGCGCAGACTCTCTTCGTGAGGGCTACGAACGGCATGCAAAAATATGCGTGCATCTTCTTGCAAACGTGCTAAGCACGGTAAGTTGGTCTGACAGATAAAGAATTTTGACTTCCTACTTTGACTGGACTTTTTTTCACGAACAAATGGATCAGGTGCGCTCAGTGTTGAAGCATGATGGGGAAGCTTGCATCGTTCGCTACGTAGGCAGTAGCTTTGAAGTTACAATCCATCCAGCTACATTGACCGACGTAGATTTTTTTACAAATACTAAGTTCAGGGAGCATTTCAACTTGCATTGAAACGCCTTCTGCTTTTAAATTAATTGATTTGATTTCATGTCTTTGTTCTTTTCTGTTATTTTCCTCCGCGAATTTTTTACATGATATCCATTCCTTTCCGTAGGCATCGCGCTCATCTTTCGAAACCTTCTGCTTTTTGCTACTGTGTTCGAAATGAAGTTTTTCACTATTAAAACCGTGCGCATCACAAGCTGCACTTTGCTGCTCTATCGTTGTTACTCCTTTGTTTATGTCTTTTCCTTGCCGAAAAAGTCTGGTAGCCAATGCGCGGAGCACTTTCGCGTGAAAGTGAAAGAGAACAGCAATGGCTGCAATGAAGAAGGCATTGTTACCAAGTTCAGCCGCGCATTGTGTATGATGTGCATTGCTTCGCCTAATATGGTGAAATGATTGGGGTAAAGGGTCCAGACGTGTAGGCATCATCAACCGCTCGGACTGGCCGTGTTTGCGACATCCGCGAAGTGGCTCGTCATGCAGTAGCCATTAAGATGTTAAGGGCCTAGAGCTTTGGAACAAAAATGAATCAGTTTCAAGCGTTTGAAAAGGGGTTATGCCAAAACATAAGCTATTAACAAAAGAGTTTCAATATTCACCTTCAACGACATAAAAACTCAACAGTAATTGGGGACTTCTCATAATCTCTAATATGTTCGATCACATTCTAACAAGGAAGAGTTTCCAAGTCAGCTCGGTCACCCAGATGTATCATACATCACCGTAACGGGCTTAAAATGCTGATTCCAAATCCGCTTTCCTATTCCGCGGAACGGAACTATGAAAGAAGTTATGAGGGTTCGAAATTTGAATTTGTTAGGTTTGAAGTGGCTTATAAAAATTTCACACCACTTAAGACTTGACAAAAGTAAGTACACACTTTTCAATCGTCAGTATCTCTCTTCCCAATGGGTCTTTGTTGGCCACTCAAGTGCCATTCTGTAGAGCGAGGTTCAACTTAGATATTCAGTGCTGATCGAATCACCGATCCTTCGTTACTGTAGGATTACGGTAAGAACTTCCAGCATGCGAATCCATTGCGAAATATGCCGTCCGACAAAATTTTTTCAAAAATTTTGAATAATCGTGTACTAGGGTTTTCGCGCACGATTCCATTACTCAACTTTTTACGTGTGTTTTTAGCTTTTTTGACGGTGTAGTCACATTTCTGACAAATGCTGGAAATTCATTATCACGGTTTAGCTGGGATAACCTTGGAAAGAAGCATCACAGTGAAGTGAAAGTTTCATATTCGAAATAAGCGGCTTCAGTTACCATAGTATAAGAGTTTTTGGCTTGTCTGGTTTTGTTCCGAGGAGAATATGGCCTCCAGTGGCTAAAATCCTTGTCGGAATTCCTACCGTAATCTAATGAAAAGAGATCGGATTTCGTCAATACCGTAAATCTAACAATAAGTCGAAGCCTTCTCTACAGAACGGTACTTGAATGGCGGAAAAAGACACAAGAGATTTAAACGATTGAAAAGTACTTACTTTTGGGACATCCTGTATATGCTGATAACTTTTTGTAGATTTGTTCCGCAGAAACCAAAAGCAGATTTAGAATAGGCGTTCTAAGCCCGTTACGTTGATATATGATTCATCCGGGTTGGCCGAGCTGACTTGGGAACTCTTCCTTGTAAGTTCAGTGATCATAACCAGTCTCCAAAAAGCCATCTACGCGATGTAGCATTTCATCCTCCTTCCACTGGTTATAAACCCATCGCAGCACATTCAATGAGCTTTTGGAAAACTACCAAAATCTACGACGCATGCTTTCTGAGATGGTCAAATTTCACAATTTTTCAAACTTTGTGTATCTTCGAAGGAGTCCAAGTAACGGATGGTAAAGCAAATCCTACAGAAAATGATATTCTCCTTTACTCGCCGTAATTTTTTTGAAAATTTCAGACTAGAACCAGCCGATTTCGTCGCCGTCTGACGTAGCCTACGTCAGACGCAAACGCATCAAATACTAATAAATCTTCAATTTGAAACTTCCTAGACCGCACTTTGATTTAACACTAATTTTCGCACTGATAAGAGGACGGATTTGAAGTATCAAGTCTTAAATTTTCCGGGCACAGCCCGGGGCGCTTTCAAAAACATGAATTATGACGATTCCATCTCCGAAGACGTCATGAATCGGAAACAAGAACTACTGGGAGAAGAGGAGGAAAAGCTGCATCGAATGACACCTGAGCTGCTCGCCGTTCGATGTTCTACGAGCTTTGAGTTGACCAAGTATGGAAATTGGTAACATAAAACGAAATGCCATAAAAAAATTATGACGAGTTGTGGAGAGAAGAATGAATTGTTTCGTATCCTATGGAGACTATAGAAATCCAGAAAAATTGTGTGGACCATCTTGAAAGCAGGGGTTTCAGATTTTGGTAGTTTTCCGAGAGCTCATTGACAGTGCTGCAATAAAAATAAAAAAAATAAAAGATGAAATGCTGCATTGAATCCTACCATAAAATCTCTGTTCCACGAAATGTGGCATTTATTTGAAAAAAGGGACAATATTTTAACCATATATATCACGATTCAACTAAGGAATGGTCAGAAGTCGAAGTGTCCCATCCAAACAAGCTGCATACCATTAGATGCAGCATGAAACGCTGACTCGAAATCTGTCTTCCTTATCTGCCGAGCCTTTGTACACATGAAGTTAGAGCAGTTTTCGCAGAAAATTGCGAAACAAGGCACACTATTGCTCTTCTACGTGACCTTCGGTGGGCATAAAGACCTACCTAGCTGCATGTTTTGGCCCAGTGTTGAGCCGAACATAACTCTGTGCTGCCAAGCACCTTGCTTACCCGATTTCTTGGCAATATAATGACTCATATTGGCTTATAGCTTCGTCCACAAAGCGCAAAGCAGATAGGGGTGACAAATTTGAAGTCAGCTTCTATGCTGCATATGGTATGTAGCTTTGAATAGGCCACTTCGACTTCTGACCAACCCTTGAAAGTATCAGAGAAGGCACAATATGAATCTTGCATAGTCTCATATAAGCTAGCTTGTATGATGTCGCCATGTTGCGAGTTATGAAAAGTGTCCCTCGCGGTAGCCCAAAACCAGTTTTCTCTAACATGTGGTTAGGTATATCTACTAAAGCGAAAAACGACGAATGTACCAAATCTTCATCTGTACTAGCAGATAAGCAACTCAATCAATCGCTCTTTAGTCTTCTTCCTTTCCAGGAACAGATTGCGTGGTCTAGATAATGCACATGACCATAGGAATGAGAATAAAATGCTAAAAGCTCCATATATTCAAACATTTTATTTTCGATGCTTCAAAAACAAGTGTGAGGAAGAAACAACAGAGGTTTGTTTACAACAAAAGAAAACACATGAACTAGGAAAAGCTTATATGCATTGACTAATCTTTCACGCGAATAGAGTTGTTGGCAAAATTTACAATGCAATCTACGAAAGCACTGACCCAAACATCACTATGCCACTATGAGTGTCCCTGATATCTGTACAAACGTGGCTAAATTTTAACTCTTTGTAAGGCATAACTAGATTTTTGGAAAAACTTAGGTGAACTCAGACGAGAAGAAAGATTTGACTACCCAAAGTGTCGACATATACAAAATTTACATATGTGAAATGCGTAAAATGGAAACGAAACGAAACGGAGGTGAAGCGATAAGAGCAACACGAGAGTATTGGAATAAATCACTGCTCCAGAGTCGGATAGGCAAATGGAAGAGATAGAAAACCGAGACTTTCGAAGCACTGAGTGAACTACCGCGTTTACTGTCCAGTATGTACAGCATATCTACACAAAAATCCTACATGACAACGAATGGCAGTGAGACCTATGCCAAAGACTTCTGGAAATTGAGGAAAACTAGATGGCAGTTTTATTTCTTCGGGGAATAACGTGGATGTCGCGGCAATTCCGTCTCAGCCATGAGGCGGTAACGAGCCGAATCGTAGCCTACGCGACCTTTTAGTTCTAGATTCAGTGCATCTAGCGTGTTATTCTGCGAAAAAAGCATTCGAATATCCGTGTGGAGGTAGAGACGGCAACGACGATCAGTGGCAAGTCTGAGAATCGAATTTCATATGCAACAATGATATTTCCAAGGTTATCATCAAGAATTCAGCTGTCACTACTGCGTTAGCGCATATAACACTGGATTATACTGAAGAAAAAAAAACCGTTCGGCAACAATCTGCGCATTTTTGGCCCATCTTACAAGGGAAGGATAGTCCATCAAAGTGGGGTTTACACACATGATGCATATCATTCTGCTGCTCTTGGGGCCCTAACGTCAAATCCGTGATTCATAGCTGCTCAACGATTTTCTGGGAAAAGTTATGACCGATGATTTACCCAGGACGCGGCTAAGGCCCCCAGAAAATCATTGAGCAGCTATAGATCACGGATTTGACATTATGACCCCAAGAGCAGCAGAATAATATGCATCATGCGTGGAAACCCCACTTCGATGGACGATCCTTCCCTTGTTAGAAAGCCGGTGGGTCGATTCTCCTTACTTTGTGCTTTTGAAAAAAAACGTAGAGGGGGGAGGGGGGCTGAAAAGATTTGCTCATATCAAAACAGACCGAAAAAAAAACAGATCATATCAAAAAAAATTTCCATCTTGATCTCAAAATATTATAAAAATTATAGAAATATCTGTTGGACAAGTTTTGCAGACTGACATACATTATACAAATTTTTCAGTTAAAAATAATAATAGAGAAGTATTTCTAAGTAAATTGCTGCAGTGTTGGACTCACAGCCTGTAAAGGAAATCCAAAATGATTTGATAAGCGTACGATATCTAAACTTGCCGAAAATGAATGAGATTGATGAGGTGCTTATCGGCTTTTCCTTCTTCATCACCACTCCCCAGAAAAATTCTCTGCCTTATGAATGTTTGTGATGATGGTGGCATGTCCGTCATGTCGTAAGCGACCACAAACACTTTCACCACTGTCTCTTGGGGATTGAAAAGAGTCTTAAATGAGCAACATAGGATAGGGATGTTAGGCTGAAAAACTCACTGCTTGGATAGTTCCTTGTTTTGGAATGCGATAGCCACGTCTACCAAGCGAATCCAGAGAGCATACACCCTAAATGAGCACTCTTTCAGACAACAATTGTCGGACATACCTAACACGTTTCGGACCGGAACTGCTGGCGAATTTTACGTAGAGAAGTCGTTCGAGAAGCTCACTACCCTTTTAGCAGCGCACCGTTTATGATAAGTATGGATATGACATGAATCTATAACACCGTCACCGTACAAGATGGCCTCTATGCGAGATATGTTTCTCACATGATGTGCACTTAGGTATGCTTTGCGAGCGTACAAAACCCCTAAACGTCTCATTACAAGCGTTGATCTGAAGAAAGCGTTACTTTCATTTTTTTTGGGTAGATTTGAACCAATTGCACGACGCTAGATCAATACTAGCATTCTGATAAGCCATAAAATTGTGGGACCAAATTATCAAAAACCGTAGGCTTAATCTAGGCTAAAACCTAATAGTTTTGAGGTCTGACAACACGCTGCTAAAAAACGCTTCGAGGTCCGTGACCATTTGTGCACACGGTCCGAAACGTGTTGATAATTTCATAAAGTCGACTGAGAATGTCCGAATTTTCAAATATACCAACAGTCTGTCTAGAACACTGTGCTCAGGGATCAAAACCATATGCGTAACCAAATCGCAATGGTGATTATTCGCATCCTATGCAGAAATTCTGCATACAATCACAATGTGCCGATAGAATCGGCACCTCTTTCACCTCCTCTGATGATTACCATGAAGGTCATGCATAAGCATGACCTGCTGTGATATGAGCACCGTTACTGCCCAAATATGTTAACTTACTTCGCCACGCCTATTATCTAAAGCTTTCTACCATTGCACCCACGTGTGCTAGTCGACTGTTCATAAAGCTTATTAGCTAATGTGTTCTATATAACACACTCTACCAGGAGCTATTCGCCTCAGGCTACAGTAAAGCCAAGGAACCACCCTTACATTTGGTGCATCGGCCAAATACGAAGGCCGACACAGTGCTTCGCAAACAGGAGCACAAAGGAAACATCTCGCAATGAAGCTGTTTCCCAGCCTCTACGCACAAGTTAGACGGCTCACCAAGAATCTCACGGACGTACTGCATGAGTACGCATACAGCGGTGAGAAGACCATACTTCCAGATAACGACGAATTGCGCCGGCGGATATGCGTCTACAATCTGCGCCAATATGCGCGAATAATCAGAGAAGTGGAGACCGCCGCACAGTCACTACAAATGAGGACTGATGTGCTAGAGAAACTTTACCAAAACGAAGAATCTACCGCCATAAGGAAAGTGATGGTGATGGAAATGGAGGAGCTCGATAAAGAGATAAGATTTTATAAAGCCATTGATGATACTCACATGCTTGTCTACTTTGTGCAACTCCGCATGACAGAATTTGAGGCAGAATTGGAAAGCATCGAAAGCAAGAGGAATTTTGCTGTAACATGCAAAAATAACAGTGAGCAACTACTATTCGGAAATCAGTCGAACGATTCACCAAAATCAGGCGATCCTATCCCAAACGATACGCCAACGATGAACGAAGAAACGCTTAAAAACGAAGAAGAAAGTAAAGGAAAGACTAACATTGATTCCAGGAGTAATTTCAGTGCTGAGAACAGCATAATATACGCTCAGGACAAAAAACAAAACAAGTCTTTGGAACCAGCCGTTCTAAACCTCGATGATGGCTACTGTGCGACGAAAATAGAAGCAAATTCACCGCAGGGCAATGCAACAAAAGAGATGACAAAAGGACGCAAAAAGTCGAAAATCAGTGATGATCGATGCAGTGAGGTCTACTCTGCCCATAACGAGGAGCCTTTCCAGGTCATGACGCCTTTGGTTACCTGTGAAGAAACAGCTGTCTCCAAAAATGAGGATTTGCTAGCTCCGCTTTCAAGCAAGAAGATCGCTCCCACTGAATATATTCCAGAGTTTAACTCCATATTATCCTGTCATATTCAATTCGCTAATCACACCATCTTTATTGAAGTCTACTCTCTACATTCATTTGCCTCGTGCCGGCGCCACGTCCGCTCATACTTCACGGATCTCAACACAGTCAAAGCAATACGTGCCGGTTACCAGCGTCCACTACTCTATCCAGATAAGCAGAAGAGTTTGCGAAAAGGAGTAGATTATTCGAATGTGTTTTTGTCATGTGCTGTCTCTCTTTTCTGCTTCATGCTTGGCCGGCGGCAGTGTGCCGATAGAATCGGCACCTCTTTCACCTCCTCTGATGATTACCATGAAGGTCATGCATAAGCATGACCTGCTGTGATATGAGCACCGTTACTGCCCAAATATGTTAACTTACTTCGCCACGCCTATTATCTAAAGCTTTCTACCATTGCACCCACGTGTGCTAGTCGACTGTTCATAAAGCTTATTAGCTAATGTGTTCTATATAACACACTCTACCAGGAGCTATTCGCCTCAGGCTACAGTAAAGCCAAGGAACCACCGATACACACAACGAAGTTTTTCCCCGATATATTTTCACTTGGGAATGTGTGCGTGTGTCAAGTCACGTAAAATAGAATCTGGAAGAAGATCTGAGAAAGGTGAATTGAGCACAAGCGCTTACCAGATATGGTGATGGAGCTGTTTCGCTGTCATTAAGGTCAAAAAAGTAGGCGGTGACTGGCAGTGAGGTATGTGGTGAAGAAAAGGCACCAGAGGCAGCTGAACAAATGCAATAGTTTATAACAAAGTTGCAACAAGTTTATAACAAAACTCTTCAACTTGAATAAATAGTAAAACATCCAAACTGAATTCAAATTTCCACTAACCTATTTGCAAATTGAAGCCCTCCAGTCTTTTTACTGGATCAAGTCGGCCATTCAAGGCACTCTCCTCAAAATTTCCTAAAAGGCTGCCAGGTTGATGCCGATTTAGGCGTGATTCGGGAAGAACGATGTCAGAAGCTGATAAACTGCTGAAAGAGCGAATGTAATCAGGAAAAAGACTAAGACTATAAAAAAACACTTACTTTCGCTGCCGAGATAACGGAGCAGGGCTTGAATGAAGAGGAAGACCGGTGACCTTGAAAATAATTTGTTGACAAATACAACGACGAGAATAACGTCTGAGTGTTACGTACTTTACTGAACAACGATCCACCACTTTTTGTGCGTTGACGTCCACGTTCTCCTTTGATTGTTTGCAGACGATTCACTAGGGCATCAATTTCTTTCGAGTCGCTAGCATCATTCGACTGACTGGATAGGGAACATGCCGATAGTACCCGACGAGCAGGACGCTAAATGGTATAAGCTCACGATCACAGCTTGGAGTTTTCCAAAGGACTTAGATTTTCTTAAATACCTCATCCAGAGGGCCAGCCAAAGCAACAAACTTGGGAGATGGTCCGCCAAGAGTAGGGACAACTGGATCAGGAAGTGGCTTGTGCTTTAGACTGAAAATAAATTCTCACCATAACAATCTGACTTGCGCTTGCATGTTTGTGCGGTGAAAAAATGCGAATAACAGTGAACTTTTCAGTGTTAACTTCAGCAACGTAAAATAAAAAGATCATCTGACAAGCAAACTATATACCTCAAGACAGTCGCTTCGTCTGGTGACGGTGTTATAGGACAGTCGTCTGTAGGCGAATCAACAGGACTGGGCGCAAGCCACTGATCATTTGATAAAGCTCTAAAATCCACAATCACTTACAAAATTGTAAGCTGAAAAAAAGTAGGGAAGACGCATGACTAACCCAAGAGTTAAGCAAAGTCCAGTGGGTAATGGCATTTTTTCGGCTTTGATATATCTTACTGTAACGACTAGAATGCTTTGTCGATCCATTCGACACACCGGAAACGTATGTTCATTCACAACATTGGTACTGGTAAGTTCAGTTTGATGCGTAGAAATTCTGAAAAAAAATAAGGGATTATATAGAAATCGTATTCCAATTTTTTATGGAACAACCCCCTACCTGTATGTGCAACACACTCCATCTGGTAAGCGGCCGTTCATGGTTGATATCCAAGAATTAAGTTGCGAAAAATGTAGATGAGATCTTATGGCGTTCTTCAAGAACAGAGGCGCCAGGCCCTAGAAAGCACACGATAATTCACAATAGTCAGACCCAAAAAATACCAACAATACCGTTTGCTGTGAATCCCATTCTCGTCGAATACTCCACAGTTCAACTGGGATCGCTCGAGAGCAATTTCTTCCGCAGGACGAATGCGCAACAATAGTCTGAAATTTTCTCGTTAGTGGATTGAGTTCTGTAATAAGCGATGTATTCTGCAAAAGAACACTTTGTATCCGCACTTAAGTCAATACAAATCTGTACGTTGTTCAAAGTTTCTTGGGACAGATAGCACTAGGGAGCTCGTTAGATGCCCCACCTTCAAACATAGTGCTCTGAAATGCCCCTAAGTCCCTAAACAACGCACCGTTCACCCAAGCTGGTTGATGAGATTTTGATGCTCTATAAGCGGGTTAATTAAGTAATCATCCAAGTCCCCCTGCAAAAAGAATTTCTAAGCGAAAGTGCTCCAGATAGAAGCGGCCAAGGTGGCTCCGCCCATCAATATGTGTGGTCTGGACATGATGAGTTCGAGGTGTCCAGGGGAAAAATGTCGAAAATCTGGCAATCACGAAGGGTGGATTTACCGACAATTTTAGGTTTCAGAGGAGGTTCCACAAGTTTATCCTTATCAGGGAAGGTGCGCAACCCGCCCCCATACGAATCTGTGAGCCGATCACACATAAGGCTTGATTTTGGACTCGTCGTCTTCAAACCACCCACGTCGATGGCCGACCATCTTATTGCTTGTAGGCTTTTCTCGCGTCGGAATCCGAGTTCGACACGAGGTGGCTTTCCGAAAATGCAAAAAACAAAGTCTTGTTTGGCTTTCTTAAAATTTTGCGAAGTCCTCTTTGACCCTAAGCCATAAACTCTAGAAGATCCTGAAAAACGAAACATCGACTAAAAAGTCGTAATTTCCGGCTACAAGAGCGATATCTCCTTTGCTCTTTGTCCCAAAAACGATTCCCAGCTTGCTTATAAAGCCACCTGTGGCGAGCTCTGGTCGGAATTCACCTTTAACAATGGGATTTGGTCAATTACCTAGTAAGGATGTTATATAGCATCAAAATCTCACCACTAGCCTCATCTTTACCTGCAGTCCTCCTCAGTACCGAAAAAAATTCAGCTTTGAAATAAAGAAACGTAAAAGATCGCAGCACATGGCACTCGTATTAATTACTCTCCTTTCTCGAATTTCTTTTGCAAAAAGTGTGAGGATTTGGTGACAAACAGCTCAAGAATACATTGCCCTGCCTCTTCACCCGCAAACGAATAAGTTTCATTTATGGACCTCAGTTTTACCCAACAGATAACTGACCTCGATGTAAACGCTATTCGGCTGTGCAATTTCGATTGGTCGTGCACTTTCAGCAGCCTTATTTGTGCCGACGGTAGCTCGAGCGGCCGCGATCAGTTGCACAATCTCCTCAGTCAACAGGTCGCTCATGCTTCTTCACCGAATTCACAATACCCGTATGAATTATGTATTTTCTCGAGGACGGCCCTCTAAATTGTCATTGGCCTCCGGAAATCCGGTAGCATTGTCCTCACTGACATATACTCCTGTAAAAGGTTAACATCCGAATGGTTATAACAAATGCGGTAATTGACGACGGAAACAAGTGCAATAAGCACGAACATACGCAAAACATGACAGAATGTGTGTTTTCAACGAATCCACAACTGCATCAATAATTGAAGCACACTGCATGGCGCGAGAAACCGACGCATACGAGATTAAGAGAGATGTGGACGGAACAGAGAAGGGCCGGAGGAAAAAGTCACCGAATCGACACTGGATGATGTAGCAAAGACTTGGCCAATATGGGCCGAATGCGTCGGAGAATAACAACAGAACAGTCAATGATAAGAAAAGATCATCGAAGTAGCACAGTTCAATTTGGACACATTGTTAAAGGCGATAAGCAAGTAGGAGTAATCGATTATAGGCAGGATAAAATCTGAAATTAACTAAAGATAAAAATGGAGGGTTAGATTCCAGGTTTCTGCTCCCATGCAATCCTGATTGGTTACATAAGCAAATTCGGAACACAGAACGAGAAGTCTACACACTGCAGTCTAATCACAGCTGCACTGACGATTCAGTTCTGACCCGGTCCAAACGCTGGCAGTGAGAGTTCACCTCCTACGTCGCTCGATATGTTTGCGGACATGGCTCTCTCGCTTCACAGTTCAGTAGGGCAGGTGGTGGCAGACGAGTGGGAGATGCCCAGGCCATTGCCAGATGCAACTACTCACGAGCTTCAAAGCTGTTCGAAAAGGATTATATCATAGTCGCAGCAGCGTTCTGAGGAGGGGGCGGGAAAGGGGCCTTTCCCTCGAGAATGGGGGAGAAACTGAGGAAAAATCGGGAAAATTTTGGAAGTTACTTACCTACATGGCTTATAAACGGTGCAGGTGACTAGTTTATGCTTGTGAAGAATTGAACTAATTTCTAAAACTTCATAAAAATTCAACATAGCCTCCCCTCCCCTCGCCGAGCAGAAATCCTGGATACGCCACTGCTGGCGAGTCACCCTCAAAACGCCTGCGTGACATTTTGGACCATAAATCAGCTCGCAGAATTGCCTCACATGTTCCCGCATGCATTCCAGTCCACTAAAACCAAATTTGCTAGTCAAAAGGTGTAACTGTTAGATTTCACTTTTTGAATGACCGGGCATGCATTTTCGTTGATTGCACCCTAAATTTCCCCTCAGAACGGCCACCAATTCAAAAGAAAAGCAATTGGTAACTGACATAAACGGCGGAAGTGAAATCATAGCTCCGACTACCGCTACCAGAGACAGCACTTGGTCTAAACTATCTAGACAAGCAAAGGTGGCGCTGCGCAGCATGCGACGAAGCAGCGCGTCCCGCATACTACGTCACCCACTCTGCATCATTGGCGCGTGGGTGTTGTTGGTCAAACCCATTGAGAACGAACATGAACTTTACTAACAACCAAACCATATAAGTACAAAATTCGCAGAAAGGATAAAATGTTCAATCAAATTCATGATTTTCCTAGGCAGGACTGTCGTCGAGTCGACGACCGCTATGAGCGGCTGTAGATCGCGGAGCACGCGCGGTGCGGCTGATATGTCACGGGAGCATGACTTATACGACAGCGTTTGTATGATACAAGCGTTCAGCCACGGACTGCTTGCTCCGTAATCTACGGCCAGTCCGTGCTGTCAACGACTACGGTATCTATCTTTAGTTCAACATTTTATCTGTTTTGCGAATTTTGTACATATGCCAGTTTGGTCGTAAGTAAACTTCACGCTTGTTTAGGGAATTTTTGAGAATTGTGAAATTTTTTGCGTGGTGAAAAGTGAAGGCAACTAATCGGCAATGGTGCCGAGAAGCAGCCACTTTGATGACGCAGGCATGATGCAGGATCGCTTATATTATAGATGTGCAGTGCACGGCCTTAAAGCAAGCAATGAACTTCTACATCAGCATTTTTTGCAACTGTTGCTTATATTTGCCAAACTTTTTCTAAAGCAGTATTCAAATGAAGCTAAAGCTCTTCGTTTAGATTATTTTCCACAGCACTGCATAGAAAAACTAAACGCACTTCCGCACTCATGATTGTACCTTGCACACATCGTGCACATCGTAATAGTAAAGTTAATAAAAATTGTCGATCACTTTCGTACGTTCTGTAGATGAATGCGGCGGGTCATTAAAGTGGTAATAAAAAATAGTAAATTTACAATGCCTTTAAAATCAATCTCTTTTTTTTCAATACATACTACCTATTCCTTATGGCTGGTTTTCGAGACTTGAAAAATGAGGCAATAATCTTTGATAGGTATTCAGAGGAATAACGTGCCTTTTTGGATTTATTGAACAAAAACTGACATAAATCGGAAACCAGCACGTTAGAAGAGAAAAAGTACGGCAGTTGACCGTGAATACAAAATTTATGGTTGCAGTATCGAAGGTTTGTATATTGAGTTGTAATGGTAGGTGATAGAAGTGATAATCTGTGAGGGAACTAAACACTAGATCGGATGTGTCAATTTTTGATCATCTATCTAACTGTAATCACGGCAAACAGCAGACTATACGTGGGAGCGAGTGGGAATGCAAGATTTTCTTGGAGCAGATACGATTTTTGTTGTGTTGAATAATCACAGAATTTTCAAAAATTCTGTGGTACTTTTGTAAGAATGCTCTATAGGTTAGTTCCTCATTTTGTTGATGATTACAATTGACGCGGTAGTGTAAGAAATGAGATGATCTTCTGACATACCCATACATCTTGCATATCAGCATTAAAAGTTACTTATTGAATTTACGCAAATATATGCCATTTATCGGTAGGCATGGCTATGGTCACATTTCCCCACTAGGCATTTTAGGGCCGCATGCACTAACATCCGCGCTGGGGTGGGGATCGCAGCTTCAGAAGAAAGCTCATATCCTGAAGCTCTGGATATCTGGATTTCACGCTGTCTACCTATCCGTAAGTATTCCCACTATCCTTCACTATGAACATATTGAACAGAAGCGAGAAGCTGTACAAGCCGCATTTTCCAGCTTTTTGTAGGATCCCCTGACGATCCCCGGGGACGAACATCTATTCTTCAAAATCATTTTTCTTTCTTCAGAGTTAATGAAAACATTCCAAAGTTGTACTGATAATCTAACCCCACAGTGCTAAGCATGCTGCTGATAAGACCACTGGGTTTTTGGAATATCGAAATTTTCGATAAACCCCAACTTTCGACCTGTGGTTCATCGAAAATTTCATGACTCCAGAATATCATTTGTTCTCATCAGCAACGTGCTTAGCACTATTGGGTTAGATAATCAGTACAACTTTGGAATGTTTTCATTAACTGTGAAGAAAGAAAAATGATTTTGAAGAATAGATGTTCGTGCCCCGGGGATCGTCAGGGGATTCTACAAAAAGCTAGAAAATGCGACTTGTACAGCTTCTCGCTTCTGTTCAATATGCTCATAGTGAAGGATGGTGGGAATACTTACGGATAGGTAGAGACAGGTAGACAGCATGAAATCCAGATATCTGGAGCTTCAGGATATGAGCTTTCTTCTGAAGCTGCGATCCCCTCCCCAGCGGGGTGTTAATGCATGCGGCCCTTATAGTATTTCTAACTTCCCCCCTCTTCCCCCATCCCTCTCCGTCAGTAAAAAAGGATGCCCCAATCCTGATTGACTAAGTTAGATTAATTGGTGTACATGGAGATGAAAGCGACCTTTGTTGCAATAAAATCAGCATATTAACTTCGTGCAAATCATGCGTACACCGAAGCGCGTAAGCTAGAAAAGATATTCGACAGAGACAACAAACTTCTTTAACAAAAACGAATGCTTTCGAGTGCTGAAGTGCTTTCGTTGTGTAAATACAAATCTATTATAGATCGAACATTAAACAAAGTCATGTGAGTAGATGCTGCTGTTTTGAGCCAAGGCAAGAAAAGGAAAAATAAGTGAATACATCCGATCATTGAGCCCCAGACAGCGGCTAACGATTTGCGTGTTTTGAGGAGTGAGAGGAGAATGAGAGCGAAGAAGGGTTAGGGCAGAGAGAAACGCAGACGAATGACTGCAGGAGGCACAAGGTTACCACCAAAATAAACGACTTTTACGGCCCATGTAGCATGCTGGCCATAAGCTATAGTCGAAAGTTGTTAAGATCACAATAATTTAACAATCATGAATGTTTCCACTCGCTGCCGAAAATTTCGAAGATTTTTAAAAAGCACACAAACAGGCAAAATATTATTCTGGTACTCTGCACAAATGTGGGGAAGCTACTAACATTTTTTGATATTTCATAAACTGTATTTTCTGATATAAACTGACATTCATAAGTACTCCAAACACTTGAAGCTGCGTTGAGCTTCATCAAGTGAATTTTAAGTCACCTAACCAGTAACGAGGCAGGACTAGTGGGAAAATAAGATTGATGTAGAAGCTACGTTAATTTGAGGAAAATCGATGGGCCAGAAGAAATGTGCGAATATCATCGAAAATGACGTGAAGCTGACGTCAAGCAATATGTTTACGGAGTGTGAACATAGCACTCTGATGTTCCAGTAACATAAGGGGGAGTTTAGCCGATTCTAATTTAGATGCTCTACCTTCATGAGCTCAAAGCTCTAAAGATGCAAAGGATATCGTTCGTAAACATGCCCGATGCACAGATATAGAATTTACAAGAAAATACTAATAAATTTGTAATATCTGCGTATAAGGTTAATTCGACTAGATTTTTCTTGCCCAACAAAGCTAAACCGTAAATTTTACACTGAACTATAATCCTCCCTTTCCTAGTAGCATAAACGTGGACTTCTCCACTAAGTAAAAGAGAGTCTAAGGAGAAAATTTTAATAATATATGGCGGGAGTTTCGTTTCCCATACTTGAAAAATGAAAGCTTGGAAAGCTCAGTCTTTCACGAATTATAGATTTTGATGATTAGATTTTCTGCTGTATTAGTTTATGGTCGGAATACTTTGAAACAGATTAGAGCATAAGATTTAACGAAGAACTATTAGGTTGGCTAGAAAGTTCTTGCGTAATTCAAACAAAATTCGATAACTTTTCAAT